ATTTCTCACATTAGCCTCCCTACATTTTTTTTAATCAAGTAGGACTAGTATGGCAGCCTGCTTTTATTTGGAAACTTAGCATCATTAGAAGATAGGATGTAGTGGTGCATCACACAACTTAGCACAATTTCCTGCTTGTCATTTTCATTACATCCAGTGTTCAAAGTCTGTGGGGAAGCGGTATTACCTTGGGTTTGATATCCAACTTTTGATTTCCTATGACTTTAGGAATTTATTATATTGTGTGAAATTGTGATCACCGCTATTCTGAATCTTGTATCTTTGCTGTATTTACTATCTTCTTTCTTATACTTTTATTTCTAATAATGCTTCTAGCCGAGGCCGAAGGAACTCTCACACGAGACATCAGGTATAGTTCTGGTGACAGAGGAACCAGCTCTGCCTCACTCTCGGGTTGCATTCACACCTGGCTCAAAATTCATTCTATCAAAGACCTGGAGGGAGAAGTTTGCATTAAGAAATGAGTGTACAAGTACAGTAGGCAAAACTGAAACAGAGCACAGTTCTGGAGGGATTGTTTTTCTAAATGATGGTTATTTCCTTATTCATTTTCAAGCACCTGCCCAATACAATTGGTGCCTCTGGACACTCGGGATACAGCTAAGGGAAAGATATCTTTACAAAATTTGCAAAAATACATATATAAATGCAGTGAATAAAATTCTTGACTGCAGGCTCTCTGAATTGGGTTTGAATGTTACAGGCATTTTTTTCTTCTCCTTGTGCAACATAGCTAGTGGGAAGCATTTTGCAGAACAAATTCTGTGCTCAGTAGCACCATACCAGTGTGGCTGTCTTTGAATCAAGCAAGATATCTTTACAAAATTTGCAAAAATACATATATAAATGCAGTGAATAAAATTCTTGACTGCAGGCTCTCTGAATTGGGTTTGAATGTTACAGGCATTTTTTTCTTCTCCTTGTGCAACATAGCTAGTGGGAAGCATTTTGCAGAACAAATTCTGTGCTCAGTAGCACCATACCAGTGTGGCTGTCTTTGAATCAAGCTTTCAGCTTCAGCTGTAGGGAATGGAAAACTATTACTATTGTTATGCAGGAGGTGCTGTGAAGTGCAAAGACTTTCAGAAATCATCATATGATGAAAGGGATGAGTATCATGAGCAGTTTCTTGCTCAAGGAAAGATGCAGAGAAGCAGAAATTCCCACAACAAAAGTCCCTGGATTAGAGAAGCACAGAGCAAATAAGGAGAAATGGTACCCTATCATCAATTTCCCTCACAGAGGAAAGAGCTATACATGGCAGCGTGGGTGACAGGGCTTACTTGCACATGGGGAGTCCTACATAATTAGTCTTTTAAAAGGAAAGAGGGCAAGAAAGCTGGTGCCCTTATGACAGATTTGCCCGTGTGGTAGCTGCCCTAGGACAGCATGCCCAAAGACCATGTCATTCCTGATAAGGATGAGTCAGAAAACGATTGCAGCTAGTGAAATAGAATATTACACCAAATTGCTTTTTGTTAGGGTTTTGCATCATAATAAATTATAATTAGTCCCAAATGTACATTCACTGACTACACACATCAGATTAAATCCACAGCAGCAATAGGGTCACTGTTCTTGACATTCACCAACACAGATTGCTACTTCAAATTATTTTCTTTTCATGAGATCCAAAAACCAAAGCTTCTAGTTTAGATTATTTCAGGGAATCCCTCGAGTACAAAGTTCTGTGTGGTTATGAACAGGTTCTCCAAAACCAGGTATGAAAATAATTTGGTTTGGGTATTTTATTTTTTTTAATTTCTTACTGCAAATGCTATCCCTTCCTAGGCATTACGTTCTTTGCATGTACCAGTGTACTAACAGGAGATATGGGTGCATGTTGTGCATGTTTTCTAATACTCTGCTTTTTGGGTGAGCCAGACTGCTCAGTGTTGGTGAAGATGACAGTATTCCGAGGTTTAGCAACTGGGGTTCAATGCAGATTTTTATTTAGCTGTTATTGAACCATGATGCACGTTAAGGGAAAATGCTCATCCAGACATTACTAGGTCTTCACTAGGTTTTATATTAAAACACAAACAAGCCACAATTTAAGTAGCATAATTAGTGATACAATCTTTTGTGAGCCTCACTGAAATAGCACAGAGTACACAGCAGATCAGGGGTTTAGGTTGCCTCAGGAAGCACAATGATTCATTGCTTCACTGTGTGTTATTCTTCAAACTTTTTTAGTAGTTGACTTTTATTCTACTTTGGCTGAATTCATAAACTTGCCATTGGTGTAATTTAGCATGAGAATGAAAGACTGGTTTGTGAGAGGAAATGTGTATTCTGAATTACAGGGTGCTTTTGAATTCATGGTTTTTTAATACAGACTGGTTTTATACTGAAGTTTCAAATGAATTAGTCAATTCTCTGAGCACTTACATGTTTGAATTTCACTTGTAAAGAAAAAATTACAGCTTCCAAGACAGGAATTTCTAAGATTATTTATGAAACAGTAATTTGTCCAGCATAAGCACCAACTTTTTCAAGTAGTTTTTAATCATATGATTTGTGTCTTTAAGAGATATTTGATGACTTATAGCCTCTTATGTGCTTGAGTTAAAATAGCCATTTTTAAAGTGCCAAAACACACAAATGAAGGACTCTGACGGTTTTTTTTGGAAAATCAGCAGTTTAAAAGAAGAAGACAAGTAACTCACTGAAAATTAGTGTATAGTCATCTCCCCCTCTCATCACAAATATTTTTTCCTCTCTATTAAAACACCTTTGTGTAACTGATAATGTAGCTATAGACCTAATGCCATATCATTGCTGAGATGAGGAGCTATGATTCCTGAACTCTGTGGGAGATGAGGAGGTGTAGGTTGTGACCTCCCTTGCCCAGTAACTCTCTGCCTACAGAAGAGGCAGCTGAACCACATGTTCAGCTCAAGGTGTCTGCAATTCACCACTCAGTGTTTACCAGCGATTTAGAGCAGCCAGAAACTACGTGCTAGGCCATCATCTGTCCTATGTTAAGACACACAAATCAGCAGAGCATGTAGGAGCGTTCTTAGGTCAGGAGAGAGACATTCTGGTCCCCCGTGCAATGTCATTTGATGGCTCTTCTCCAAGAACATTTGCGATAGTCCAGCAAGTTTAGAAAAGCCTTGTAAATTGTTTGCAATAAACTTTTTTTTACCAAAAAACCCAGCCAAACAACAAACCAAAAACAACCCCAAACAAACCACTTTGAGGAACCAGGTTGTGAGTATTTAGATCGAAATAGAATTTTCTCCATCAGGAAAAGAAAGGCAAGCTAAATGGGTGCAGAGAGATCATCTTCATCATGAATTATTATTCTTAATAGTAGGCTTTTTAAAAGGCAAATTCACTGCTTTAACTCATTTCGCTTCAAAAATCTAAAATGCATGCATGAGCTTAGATGTCACATACAGTGTTAGCCAGATATGGTGGCAGAGATGGAGAACAAAGTCTCTGAATTTCCCAATTCAGTGATTTTAAGAACCATGGTCCTTTCTGTTTATCTGTCCTCTCCCTCCCTCCTCAAATGGAAAGAGACCTCAGTTAGAAGTGATATTTTGTCTTAGGTGGTTTTTTGCGAGCTCTGTATGTCCATCTGGATTGACCAAGAAAGTGCATTTTTACATTCAGGCCATAGTAGGTAGGTTTCCTCTTTCCCATTTGCAGTTCACTCCTTCTGCTCTCGTTTTTACAGGATTCAGGACAAGTCATTCCTCTTATTGTGGAAAGCTGTATCAGATTTATCAATTTATATGGTAAGCACTGAAAAAAAAACTGTTCTTTCATTCCCACCCTGATGTTTTTGTATATTTTTTTACATTTAGCATGACTGCTTTGTTTCTAAAACAGAGACTAAAGATATTCTAAAAAATAAATTAATTTTTCACCACTGTCTCCCATCTTCACTGCAGGTCTTCAGCATCAGGGAATTTTTAGAGTGTCTGGTTCCCAGGTGGAAGTCAATGATATTAAAAATTCATTTGAGAGAGGTAATTACATTTTCATGTATTCGAGCACGTAATATCTGAGATTTAAAAATCTTTTAAGTTCTAATTATTTTCTTGGCTGTTTAACCAGTTTGTATGCACTTCGTGTACTACAACTAAAACTTTGCACCACCATGTGCTTAAAGATGAAGTATAGTGATGATATGTTTTCTTCCCATTACATCCTAGGAGCTTGAGGCCTTTTTCCATTTTGTTTAGACAAGACACGTGATTCTTGATTCAACTGTAAACTTTAGTCTTTTATTAATGAGAAATTGCAAATAGTAGTTTGTCTATATTTTATTTTAAGGATCGTCAGAAAGAAAAGATAATGGGTTTAATTTGTTTCAAAAGACTACTTAATGCAATTTGAGAGTCCTGTTACTTGATCTTTTGCAGTACGAGTGCTCAGTTTTCTGATCCCTCTCACAATCAAAGAAAATATGGGCTGTGAAAGCGTCATTCCATTTTCAACCACTGTTTTCATTCCCAAAGGAGGAGGAGTTATGTGAAAGATACCAGGAAGTAAAACCAGCTTTTTAAACATGAGTGGCTTGCAACCCTCAGCCTCGGATTGCTCTGCTAGGGAAACCAGGATCCAGCAATCCTCTAACTGTGTTAAAGCAATACTTGTTACAGGTTTTTTTAATCATACATTCTTTTTTCTTGGGCCTTACAAGCTGCTTTTTTAATTTCCAGGGAGAAATTATCTGCTAATGAGAAAACTCTTGGAGCAAAAAGTCCTGTTACTAAAAGCATGAAAAAATATGCACAATGTTTTTATCCCCAGGATTAGTTATAGATCTTGTTAAACCTGATCTTGTCTTTGACAAGATATGTAGAGCAACTGTTTTTACTTGCTAAGTGAAGCCACATCCCCCCACATTGCAGCTTTTATATCTACCTTATTCTCAACTGCTTCTCCTAGGTAGTGTTACACTGGAAAATACATACCTTTTAAAGTGTTTCAAAAGAAAGATTGGGTCTTTAAAATTACACAAATAAAATAGTTCAGTCATGGCTGAGGTTTCAGTTAGGGTTTTGACAAAATGGCTGCACATATTCCTGAATGTGTTAATTTTTCAAAATGAAGACACATTTCAAATTCAAAGAGTTACCCAACTCCATTTGTTTTATGTAAGCTCCCAGAGAAAAGTCTGAGAAACACTATTCAATTAAAAACATTTGGCTTTTTTATTTTGCTATCTATAAATCACAACATGTCCATAAATACCTAGCTGGAAGTTCAGGACCTAAGAGATCACAAGGTTATGTAATTTTCAGGAAGCTTTATTTAGGCTGCCAATTTTAGTTTAATCATAGCTTGGGATTTCTAAATCAGTGTTTATTATCTTACTTGAATGTTTGCATTGCCACCTTCCACACACTAAAAACAGAAAGAACCCAAAATGTCACTCACTTATAAAAATGTTCTATACAAGAATGCTCCTGCATGTGTGTTTCATTCACTTTATTTACTTTTTAAGGTGAAAATCCTTTGGCAGGTGACCAAAGTAACCATGACATTAACTCAGTTGCTGGAGTACTGAAGCTCTATTTCCGAGGGCTGGAAAATCCTGTCTTTCCTAAGGAAAGATTTAATGATCTTATTTCTTGTATCAGTAAGTAGAAATTTCTGTTCCTTTCTCAATGGAATTTTACTTTCAGATACACAGTAGTAGCCTGAAAAATGAGCTAACTTCACAGATTTTCTTGAGACAATTTGTTTGTCATCTGTAGCAGTCTGGGTCAGTTATTAGTCATACACACAGCTGTGCTTGTTCCCTTTTTTCCACTGGGATTAATGTGCAGTACAGCTCTTTGTTTAATAGGGCAGGAAGAATATCTTCTGGTGTACAAGGAATAGTTAAATGTACATGGATTATTCTTTACCTCTGTGCGCTGGGGTGGACAGAAGGGGATGAAGTCGTGACCATGCAAACAGAGGGTGTTGCTTTCTGCAAAGGTTTTCATGCCCCAGAGCTTGGAGTCAGCACTGGTGAATAAGTAACTAACTGCTCAACATTGTGTGATTCTGGGCCTTTATTGTGTTCATCCTAAAACCCTCGATCCAAGCTGGAAAACCCTGCAGCACAGAGACGGAGGGGAGCAGCTGAGTGTTGTCTGCAGGAGAGCCTGCTCTGCTTTCCCACACACTGGTTGTAATGGCATGCTTAGAGGAGCATTGCACAGGTCTGTGCACTGCTGGTGTTTGTACCCAGACGCAGAGAGGTTGCAGTAATTCAGGAAGTTCTCAGTGGAGAAGTGAATTGCTCTGACGTGCACAAAACCTCTTCCAGATCCCTGCAGGTGTTGAGGAGGGGTGAAGCTCAGCCAACCAGCAGTAGGCTTGCTGTTCCTTGTGGGTTCATTGGAAGTGGTCAAAGGTGCTAGCTTTGAGGAAGAATTTCCTTCCTTCTACCCTTCTTTTATAACTTGCCTGCTTCAACCAAATGGACAAAAAGGTAGTTTCACAGATAATGAGAGCCAGTCCTTTGGGATATTAATTAGGTCAGGCTCTCTCCAAACTGTTATTTTGTCAAAGAGGTCTCAGCCCAGCAGGCAGGACCACTGATTGATGCTGTGCACAGTATCCTGAGCTGGCAGTCAGGTGGGTTTTTCAGCTCCCTGCTTGGGGAACACATGTTGTTTGCATCCCACATAGGGAGGATTGCAGTAATTCCTCCTGGAGGATACAAATACATGGATCATTATGGCCAGGTCTACACGCAATATTTTGTGTTTCATTTATTTGCAGGGTTTTCTGCAGTTGTTGCTATTTAGAATCAGAATCATTAAGGTTGGAGGAGACCTCTAAGATTATCAAATCCAATCGTTAACCTATCACTCTGCTGTAACCCCTAAACCCTAAACCATAAACCATATCCTACGGAGTCAGATCCAGACACCTCTTAAACGCTCCCAGGGATGGTGACTCCACCACCTCCCTGGGCGACCTATTCCAGTGCCTGACCACCCTGAGAGGGAAAAAAAATTTCCTAACATCTAATCTGAATCTCCCCTGTCTCAGATTATGACCATTCCCTCTAGTCCCTGAGTCCTATATTTACAGACTTGGTGGTACTGAGGAGTCCTAAAGGACCTCAAAACCACAATTTAACAATCTCATCCCTGATGCTGAGAGGAACACTGTCTCTTCAGGAAGCATAGTCTTGGTTCTGCCTGAGTTCAGCTTTAGCTAACTGTGGTGCCACAGCCCAGAAAATGTCTGCAAGTCATAGAAATTGAAATCTAAAAAAGGAACATTTTGACTGATTTTCTGCATGATAGGGATGATAGAACTTTATCTAATAATCCTGCACTGATTTCCATAACTTCTGGATGAATTAAAGCATGTCTGCTGGAAAAAATATTGGCTTAATGGCTCTAGTTGACAGAAAATCTGCCGCATTCTTGGATAAGCTGTTCAAATGATTAATCACTTTCATCATTAAATATTTGTACCAGATTTCTTTTTCAAAATTTCTGCTGTCAGATTCTGCCCATAGGAACTCTTTGTGTCTTCATACTTTTGACTAACCACTAGGAAAAATATAAGTAGTGGTTCTTATATGTGGAGATGGTATTGCACACTGCTGTGTTGAAGAGCTTTAAATACAATTGTAAAACACCAAGAATGAGTGTTCAGTTTACAAAGGTTATACAAGTGAGTGCTCAGGAGATGCAGATATTTGCCCAAAACAGCCTTTTAAATGTGTTCCAAGAAGAGGAACCTGGATGATTTCTATGAGTTTCCATCCGTCATTGATTCTGAAGACAGGATGGAGTATTTGGAAAGAGGGGTGGACTGAGTAGATAGATGTACATGGCACCTTTGCAAGCAGGAGAGATTTGCTGACCTCTCAGAGCATCACTGTCTGAGAGGGTTCCAGTTCAGTTATCCCAAAAAGGTATTTATTTTGTTATTAAGAACTTAAAGAAAAATGGCAATGAATACTAGATCTCTAGTGTTAGGTCTTGATTTCCTTAGAGAATGTCCAACTATTGCATGTTCCAAGTAGGCAGTTAATTATTTTCTTGCGAAAGAGACCACCTCTGACAACCTTTTATTTAAATAATGGTATCATCCAACAGAGCTAAAATCAGTAACAACAAATAGCCTGCAACTGCTTTTCATTATAAGATGTTTATTGAGGGAAAGGTGTTGCCATCTGATCCTGGTTTAGACTGAGTGTTCTCTGAGGGTGTCATAAATCTGGATTGTCATCTTTATGACAGTTTGTCAAAACAAAGTGTAATGACTGAGTAGTTCTGCTAGGTTTGACTTCTACTACTCCTGCTATAGAAGATTTTCTTCTTGATAATGTTTTGTAAGAGTCCGAGATCTGTTTTCTGGCAGGAAGAATGGAAAGGATGGTTTTGTTTTCATAAGATTGTCATTAGGGGCACTGGAAAATGGCATGTCAATGCCTTCAGCACAAGGAGGAGAAGTAAGTGTGAACCATGGTAGGACAAAGGGGATTTTCTCTTGGAGAACACTGGGGTGAGTTTACTTTGTGTTGTTACAGTGGGGGGGAGTTTGAATGTGGTATGAGGAAAGAAAGAAAGAGTCCTTGTGCCTTGCACCCACAGCCAGCCCCCAAACCATATGCTGGGAACAGGGGCTGTGTGTCTATGTCTTCTGATTATCTGAGAAGCCTGAGGTGAAGTGTTTTTACAGCTGTATGCCTATTCTATGTGCTTTGCTGAGTGGTCCACCACTTCCAGGGCATTAGATGCTTTTAAAAAAACAACCAACCAGTATGCATTTCACAGTTCAGTTTACATAGCACCTACACAGCACATACTGTCATAAACTGTCAGTCTAAAAGACCATTTCCATTGCTATATTTTAATCTTAACGCTTTGGATATCATGCAAAAAAAGAAGACAGTCTAGGCAAGATTTTTCTTCCATTTCAAACTTTGAACGAGTTGTAGTTGCATTAGTTTCTTCTTCTGTGCTTATGTGGCCTCACATGTTAATGGGAGCAGGGCCAGACTCCTTTTCTCTGTGAGAACGCAGGTAACTTCTTTAAATCACATTGATAAATAAAGTCCAGAAAACGTTTACATTTTTAATTAAGAAGGTTTAAATACTCTTAATGCATATTGCATTCACTGTCTGAAAACTAGTATGGAAAGGAAAAAAACATTAAGCTGTTTTCAAATAGTTTTTCAAGATAAATGTCAGTGTGGTTTCTTAATCTTTGGCAGAAATTGCTATAAAAGGGGGGAGGGAGAAAGCAAATTTGTAAAGTTAATGTTCACATAAAACTGCAAAAGGGCAGAATGTCACACATTTTATATGGAAATGCAATGTTGCTAGTGAAAAACCCCTTGAAACTGAAGTACTTAGTTATGGATGTCAAGCATAATTGAAGCTACAGCTGCAAAATGAACCTTTCCTCAGTACAGCCACTGAGGAATTCCTTTGCATTTATGCATATGTTTCCAAATGAAATAGAGCATTGTGATATAATGCTTTCCATTTTGTAAATACAGTGGAAACAGTGCAAAATTACTATGACTTTTATGGCAATTTGTATTAATTAGACTCACGAGAACAATGTTATTCTGTTTGGGCTTATGATCTGATCTAGATAAAATTCGGGCTAAATTCTATGCCCTGGGCCAGAGCAATCATGAAAGGTAGAACAGAACATAAAGAATCCATCTGATTGTGGGCTGTTATTCTGCATTCTCAGCATAAGGAGTGGCTACTATTGGTCCCAGCAGCATTCTGTAATCTAGAGAGCAATGCAAGGTTGGGGTGGGAAGGAGGAGAGCTGCACTGCACTTTTTTTTGCCCCCTTGCAGGAACAGCTTGGGCCAAACACAAGCAAAGTGTTTGTAATAGGAGCTACATTGAGGCAGAGGGTACTGGAGCTGTGCTTAGGGCTGGCTGCAATTCACCTTGGCTGCTGGGGGACTGCAGTTCTTCTCCTGGTGTGAGGTCTTACACATGTGACTTACAGTTCACTTCTACATACGTCGCTGTGCCATGCAGTAGCAGACACAGCTTATCAGACTGCTTAGCTTCTGCACAGAGCATTATAGTTCTTCATGGTTTCATCTCCCTTCCCTTAAATTTCATATATGAAGATGGCAAGATGGATGAAAACTTAGATTTTTTTTCCTCCTGATTTTCATTTCAGTCCTTGCTGCCAGCAGTACCTGTTTACCTACAGGCATAAATATTATGAAGGGAAATTATTTTATTGCTTTTGCAGACTACTAGCCATTACTTAAAAAGTAAAAAAGCATTCTGAATTGTCAACTCTTCCTGAAAAAGTTTCAACAATATGGCAAGTGTTTCCTTCCCTAAGTGACAGTGGAGACCACTGTGTTTGTCCTCCTGTGATGCCTTCTGAAATACATCTGAAAGAGCTGTAAGTAGCATTGCTGAGTTAATATATACATGTCTTTGAGCTGGATTGGACTCATCTGCCGAAGTGGAAAGAGGCAGAAATTGGTAACTTCAACACTAATACATATTCATGTAGATTACTTGTCAGCTGCAAAGTGACCATAAAAATTACATCTGCAAGTGTAACTCAGTCCCATTTGGCGTTCAGTGGGTGTGTAAAATATGCATTAAGCATTCACTGTTACTAGTAGGCACAGCACCAAGTGGAAGCAGCAAGTAACCCCCACATAGACATACTATTCTTTAAAGCAGTGGTCCTAAAGGAGAGAGACACCTTACATTACCATTGTTTGCTTTCTTCCTCCTTTGTGCTACCCTTGCCTTTGAAATATGCTTAGCTTGCACAACACTGCCTGTTAGTATAACACAATTCATTAATTGCTGACACCAGGTTTCTCCTGCCACATGTTCTGATCAATAGTATCTTCTCTTTGCCAGATGTTTTCAATCCTTTTGTTCCTACTGAGGTTGGCCCATGGAGGCTGGCTGTTAACAGAGGATGGTGGAACATACACAATCCAGAACTCATGTTTCTGAGCTCTGACTGCTCTCAGGATGAGCCTTCTTGTTTGGATAACCATGTCTCATCTCCAGTGCAGAAGGGGCCATGTGTAGAACCAAGACTAGGAAAAGTACGGTGCTTCTGTGTCATTTTTAGCTATACCAGAGTAGCATGTAACTGTCCTTTTGGCCTAAAATACTTCCAAACCACCAGCAAGAGAGGTAAACCACCTCTCTTGCAAAAGCCTTTTGTTCTTCATCACCAAGTATTGCATCCATATATCTGAATATTTATTGCCTTTTACATGCTCTACAACTTCAGGATTATTGCTTAATTAAACTTTATGTTTTCTTAATGTTATTTAGGGTGAATGTATCCCAGTCTCCATTTCTAATTTAGTTCTGGTTTATTTGTGTTTGGGGGCTTCTGTTAGTAATTGTAACCCCTCTCAGGTTTCCTTTACTCTTCTGAGGCAGATTGTTCACTTCTGATCTGTTTCACTTTAGAGTCTACCTTAGCAAAAACCTCATTGTGAGTGACCAGCTGGTTAAAATGCGTTATTTCTTATGGAAAAGTAGACATTCATTGTTTCTCTGTGTCTCTGCAGTAAACCATGGTGACACTGCCTCTCCAGAACAGGTTCCAGTGGTCTGGGAGGCTGAAGATCACACCTCTTAAGGCTTGAGCATCTAGGATTTATGTCTGTCTCATGCTGTTGAGAACTGATCCATAGTGCGTGGCTGACAAAGAGGCAGCTAGCTGATAAGTAATTCTTTCATTTATGCAATGACATTAATCGCATCAGGATTCATTCATCCAGTTCAAGGGCATGGAGTGTTTGCAGAGGAAGTCTATAGGAGATCAATAAATAAAAATTTTTCCAGAGCAATGCAGGATTGCACTTCCAGTAGATTTTCTTGTGTAGTTTGTGATCTGCCTCTTTGGAGGATTTTGTTAAATAACAAGTTGGACAGACACTTCTCAGAGGTGATTAAAGTGAAATCAGAGGGTGAGATTGTAGACTTAAATGACCTCTGAAGAGTCCTGTGAGCTCTCTTATTTTTCTTTTTTTTTGTAGTAGCTGGTAGAGGCTTATTAGATCCCAAACATGTCGGATACTTAAGTGCCTAGATAATTTTATGGATACACAGGAAAACAAGTTCCTTGTATTATCAGGGTACTTTGTTCCATTATTGTCTGGTGAAAATACATTAATAGTTCTGGGCACAGGTGCCTAGCTCTTCCACAAAGAGCTATAGTCTTGAAACCCCAGAGGTTGGCCTCTTCCCCTTCTCTTGGTTCACCCCAGAAACGTCTCCTGTGCTCTGCACTGCACTGCAGCTCTGCTTTGACAGAAGCACAGTGTTTTCACACCAAACTAACTTCTTGTCTTGCTGGCAGGAAACTCTCTTGTTTGTGGGTTTGACCCCCATGGCTGAGACTACTCTGGAAGGCAGGTGTGTCAGACCAGAGCTCCAAAGACTTTGCTCTGCTCTGAGAATTGGGAACTAAAAAATAATAACCACTTCACTGTGTGATATTTACCTGACATTAGTCTTGATTTGTGGTTGATATTCCTGGGTCCCTTTCCTGCCTCTCTCCACAGTCAGAAAAAACATGTTAGTTTTCAGTGTGCTTGGCCTTGCCAGAGGCTTGTCCTCTTGCTTGTGTTTAGGAATGTGTCTCATATCATTAGAGTAATGAACCAGTTTTCAGATCCCCTGATTTCTATTTCTGCTTGGCAGCTAATTGTGTTATTAGGACAAGTCATGTACTATCAGCACTTTTGTTTTCTTAGCTGAGAAATCGGTAATACCTCACTGGGCACTCAGGTAGGGCTAATTACAGTTCTTGAAAATCGGAGTAATGAGAAGAGGGTCTCCGACAGAAGTACTGTGAGAGGGGAGACATGGCCACCTTTCTGCAGGGTTGGGGTTGCCAGTGGCTCCTTGCAGCAACCAGCTTGTAGTTTGGATGGCCCTTCTGCCTTGAGGCTCTCTTTAGCAAAGCCAGTGGAGGCAAAACAATGCTTTCTTTCCACTCCATGGACAGCACTGGAAAGAAATTTGTAGCAAATTTGAGCTGTGAATTCTTTCTGCCTGGTCACTGTGTGGTTCTTGGCTGCTGGCTGGGGTTAAACCACAGCAGTCTCCAAACACTAATGTACTGCGTAGATGCAAGCAACGATGAAATTTGGCTCCATATTTAAAAGCAGCGTGCAAATGCATAACATCATTGCCTAGCTCCTTTAAACCAAATCGATGCTGGGAAATAAAAGCCTTTTGAAATAACATGGAAAGCACACAAATTTACCACTTGGCAGTAGTTTGGATTTTCAATAAAGGGGCTTTCATGGAAACTGGGTCTGGGTTACCAGGAAGGTTTTGAAAATACACACACTTCATTCAAGCATGCATAGTTTGCAACTGCTTCAGTTTGGAGGTGACCTGCTAGTGCTTAGTAGTGATCATCCTCCTAGTAGGGCAGCTGGGGCAGCTCGACACATGGCTATTGGCCAAACTCTCTGTACCTGCTCTGCCAGGTCTGTGCTGCCTGCTGGGACCAGTTCCTGGGTTATGCATTCTGTAAACCATGTCTAGGAACTGCTTGGAAGAGTTGTAGTTGGCACAGACCACAAGCACTTTGGACAGTGTGATAATTACTGTGTGGTGGAAACCTGCCGGTGTTCAAGACTGTGCCCCAGCCTGGTTTAACTCACTAGTTTAGACAGATCTATTGCATCCATAGCCTTGACAAGAGGCAGCTCAAGAGTGACCTTGTTGCTCTCTACAGCTACCTGAAAGGGGGTTATAGAGGGGTGGGGGATGGTCTCTTCTGCCATGCCTGCAGTGAGAGGACTAGAGGGAACAGTCGTAAACTGAGACAAGGGAGATTTAGATTAGCCGTTAAAAAAAATAATTCACTGTTAGGGTGGTCAGGAACTGGGTTGCCCTGGAAGCGTTTAAGAGGCGTCTGGATCTGGTGCTGGAAGATATGGTTGAGGATTTAGGGATTATAGCAGAGTGGCAGGTTAACAGTTGGACTTAATGATCTGAGAGGTCTCTTCCAACCTTAATGATTCTATGGGAAGGCATTACTGAAATTTTAGGCTGTTTCCAACAGTGTCATTTACGCAGAAAACACATTGAGTAAAAAAATTGAGATATTACTTATTCTGAAAAACAGTTTAAGCTTTTATCCCATCACTGTCCCATTTGCAGCCACATAATCTTTCTGACCAGCATGGAAGATAGTGCATGCTTGTTACAAGACATTAAGAACTGGTGCTTTTATCAACTGACCTTGTTTTTTCCCGTTTCAGAATGATTTTGGTGGACTGCTGTAAAATCATTTGGGAAAGATGCTATCTTTGTGTTAATTGTCTGCACACCAAAAAACATTAAGGCCTTTCTCCTACTTTGCCACTAAGAGAGTTATAGCTGGACATTTGATCAAGAAAACTTACTAGAGAAGCTCAATGATTGGAATATTATATATCTGATGTGAACCTTCAAATAAAGAGAATGAATCTGTATTTGAAACAGATGGCCAACATGTCTTTTTGGTTCCCTCAGGTTATTTATGTACTGATTTTGTGGTTTTGTGAGCTGTCAAGCTCAGCAAGTGGCCAGGGTTTGGCTAAGGCAGATTTGTGGCTTCTTATAAAGATGTTACTTTTAAACTGTGTAGGTTTAATGAGAGGGTGAAGAACTTCTAGACCTTATTTTTTTAATAGGCCAAAATGAGAAGATACTGACTAGGAGCTTGTGATGGTGAAGAGTCAAAGTTAATTGAGTAAACTGACTGAATACTGTTTTAGACAATCATATGCAAGGGAACATGAAATATTTTCTTCTGTTTGCAGGAATAGACAATCTCTATGAGAGGGCTCTTCACATCCGCAAACTCCTCCTTACTTTGCCCAGGTCGGTCCTCATAGTGATGAGATACCTCTTCGCCTTCCTCAATCAGTAAGTGCTTTATAATTACCTGAGGTACTGTATCTTTATCTGCCTTTCTCTGCTGGTATTGAAGTTCTTTGGGTTTACTCATACTCCATGTAGAATTCAAATTTAGGCTCCATTTAACACAAAAGATGATCTAGTTGGCAACAAAAATAGAACAAAACCACTGGTTTTCATTCAAATGAAAAATTCTATTTGTCCAAAACTGAACAAGGTTATTCTAAGACAGATTAAAGTGTTGTCTGAAATGGGGAGTGCAGGCTACATCATTAAAGCTGGCAAGAAAATCAGCTGATAAGAAAAATAATGATTACAAACTGTAACTACATTAGAATTAGTTCATGTAATCCAAAAATAGATTATTTTTTTCCTTATCTCAAGCTTTTTTTTTAATCTCCGGATGGGAAAAAAACTAGTATATTCAAGCAACACAGGTACCACAGACTACCTGTCTGATGCTAGGCACTGCCAGGGTGAGACTTCGTGTTGCTACTTCCATGTTCTGATATAGGGGCTATGAGTATAGAGAACATCCATCACCTGTGTATGCTTTGATTTAAAGCAGCTTGGTTCTCACATTGCAAAACAGAGACTGGAAGGAGATGTTCATGTCTTCATCATTCCAGAAAAACTTCTTCATTCTCTAAGAGAAAATAAAAGACAGATTGGGCATTTGCACTGTGTTTCTTCCTCCAGTCCTTCACAGCCCTCTCTGGTTTTGCTGACCCCAGTGTTTTCACAGAAAATTTTGGTTATGTGCACTTCATCCTGATTCCAGCTTTGCTCTTTCTGCTGCCATAATGTCTGTTTCCTGTTAGATCTGTCTTCATATCATCTTTTTCCTCTTTTTTTCCTAAATTTGCCCTTGCTTGATTCATTCTTTGTGACCTTCCCCATTTCATCCAGCCTGTCTGTTCCTATAGAAACAGTGTCTTTGCAGCCAGGTTATTTGTGTGTACCTGTATTCACAGCTGTTCCCATTTCCTTTCTTCTAGTAATTTCTGAACCACTTTCAAGCAATATTTAAAAGAGGGGCAGAGATCGAAAGTTTTATTAAAATAACCATTCATTTGAAACTGAATTTATCCTCCAACTGTGACACCATATAAATGTCTTAAAGGTTTATTTCACAGCTTCTCCTCTGCTTAGGCATACAGATTGACCAGAGCTGTATGGGGTTGTACTTGTTACATGGCCATGTTACCTGCATCTGTGCTCTCCACAGGAATGCAATTCAGAATACCTTACTGCCTCCAGATTGCTCCTGGTGTATGTACAGGAGAAACATTCTCATGATTTGACTTTCTGCAAATCCCATTCTGCTTTTTGTTTATGCAGTTATGCCTGCTTGGCCCCATGAAGTCATCAGACCTCATGGCAGACCTCACCTTTGAGCTTCCTGCTCAAAGCTTCTAGAGTTAGATCAAGTTGCTCAAGGCTTTGTCCAGTCAAGAACCTCAAAGAGCAGCAACTCCACAGTCTCTCTAGGCAAGTCAGTTCCAGTACTTGGTCACTCTTAAAGACATTTTTTCCTGCCTTCAGTTGGAATATCCTTTGCTGTGTCTGTTGCCTCTCGTCCTGTTGCACCTATGTCTGTCTTGCTCTTGTTTATAGTTTTGCTAGTAGAAGACTGCAGCTAAATTCTTCAGTAGCCTTCTTTTCTAAAGGCTGAACAAACCCACCTCTCTCCCTTTTTGTTTTTAACCCATATGCTCCAGCTCCCCAGCCATCTGTGGAGTCCTTTTCTGGATTTGTACCACTTTTTCAGTCTCCCAGAACTAGACACTGAAGCCCATGTGCAGTTTCATGAGCACCAGGTGGAAGAGGAATAATCTATTCCCTTGACCTGCTGGCTTTTCTCTTCCTAATATAGCCACAGACAACTAGCAACTAGCATGCTTTGCAGGAGGACACATTGCTGAGTCACATCCAACTTCTTGTCCAAGAGAGACTTTTCCCAGTGCTTTTCCTTGAGGGCTGCTATCCAACAGTCAGCTCGAGACTGTAGTAATACATGGAATTACTCCATTGCACAGGCAGGACTTTGCATTCATCCTTGTTGAACTTGAAATTGTCATTTGTCCATTCCTACATCTTGTCAAGGTTCTTCTAAATGCTAACCCTGACCTTTAGCATATCTGCCGCCCCCTGCCCAGCGTGGTATTATCTGTAGGTCAGCTGAGTGTGCACTCCCTCCCCTTGTCTAGGTCATTCATGAAGATGTTGAACAGTATCAGCCCCAGTATTGAGCCCTGAGGAGCACTGTGAATTACCAGCCATCAGCAGAACTTCACATCTTTCACAATGATAGTTACAATCCATTTTACACATTTTTGCACACATATAAAGGCTGAACCACTTTATAAATTGGTAGAACATGATGTCTCCAATTAACTCACAGGACAGGCTAATAAATCATGGCATAAGAAAGAACATGATTAATTTTACAAGCTAATTATGAGGGGAGTCATTTTGAAGGCTTGCCTCAGGTTTATATTGCTTGTACATGAAAAATGCACTCTAAAATTCCCTTTCTAGAGGGAATATGATGAACACAACCAGATATTAGAATTCCTATGCTGTTTCAGAGTGCAGAACAACATACTATAGGGCATCCCAGTGCTTCAGGTTGTGTTTGACTGGCCCTGCACAGAACCACTCAAAAGCCAGCACTTCCACTAGAAATGTCAATGCTTTTAAACAAGGGAATAGATAAGCAACTGTTCATTCATTCAAAGTCAAAATTGAAAACTTGTAACATTGCATTTTCTGGAAGATAGGAGAGCTTGCAAAAGTTGATTCATAAGAACAATCAAAGCCTTTTGTTCGTGCGCTTCCATAATGAAACTGTTGTGGGAGTTTGTGGGCAGAAGGCAAGGTGCTTAGGAATTTTAGGCTGTACAGTAAAAACAAAAAACAGAAGTCACACAAGCCTTTGCAAGATCCAGGAACTTGGTTGTCTTCAATTCAGTCTGCCAGAGTTACATACCCAGCTGATGGGAGAGATGCATCAAAGTCTGATGAGAAATGATAGGCATGTATACCAACTTTGCATCCAGTCCACTTGGAGCTCCAAGAATAAGCACTGATGAGACAGAAGCAGCAGCAGTTGATGCATTAGCCCATTAGGTCAGTGTACAAATCATATACATACGTATTTGTGGTATAAACTCACTTTATAATGTATATAACCTATTGAAGAAACCTTTTGTTCTTCAGTTCCTGTTTAGAGAACAGGAAATCTCTATGCTGTCATGGAAAATAAATTTTTCTACAGTTCTCAGAATAAGGTCAGTCACAGTGGAAAAGTCAATTTTTCTTGATTTTTCTGTTACAACAGCCTTTCACAGTACAGCGATGAAAACATGATGGATCCCTACAACCTGGCCATTTGTTTTGGGCCAACTCTGATGCCTGTTCCAGACATACAAGACCAGGTGTCTTGTCAGGCACATGTGAATGAGATAATCAAAACTATCATCATCCATCATGAGGCTATTTTTCCAGATGCAAAAGAACTTGATGGACCAGTGTATGAAAAGTGCATGGCTGGAGATGACTACTGGTAAGTCAGAATGTTACCCTTCCATCTGCTTAACAAAATTGGTAGGCCAGTTGTCTGGATAACTTCTGTAATATAGAATTACTTTTGCACACAGTAGAAGTATGAAGATAAACAAAAAGAGCATTTAGGTTCACCTAGTGAACTGTTAGCTCTAAAAAAAGTGAAGCAAAGGCAGTAATAATGGGGTTCCCTACAAGATATTGTGGAGGAAGCTGCTCTTGTGTTCAGCCAGATACAGTCAGAATTCCAGGTGGACTGTGCAGAGCACATGACTGGTAGGAAATTGTTTCTCTGGCTGTGAACTACCTTAACAAATTTCAGCTTATGATGCCTTCTCCCTGCTCTGTTTCTCTCTGTTGCAGTTTTACCATGCAGATATCTAAACACCACACAGCCACTCACTCCTCCCACAGTAGGCTGGGGGAGAGAATTGGGGAAAGGAGTACAATTCATGGGTTGAAATGAAGAGAGTTTAAGAGGACAGAAAAGAATGGGCAAATAATAATTAGAATATGAAAAAAAAGAGTGCTGCACAACGCAATTGCTGACCCCAGCTGGTCCCTGAGCTGCAGCCCCTGACTGGCTTTGCCCCAAGTTTATATACTGAGCACGACAGCACATGGTCTGGAATATCCCTTTGGTCAGTCCATGTTTCTTCCCAGCTTCTTGTGCCCCCCAGCCTACTCGTTGGTGGAATGAGGGGAGAAGCTGAAAAGTCCTCAATTTAGTGTAAACACTGCACAGCAACAACTAAAACATCAGTGTGTTATCAACATTATTCTCATCCTGAATCCGAAACACAGCACTGTACCAGCTGCTAGGAAGAAAATTAACTCTATGCCAGCCAAAACCAGGACACTTCCTTGGCAGCATACACACGCACTTTTTATGTATTAAAGATTCAAGTGGTCTGAGGACTTACGAATACCTCGGGAAGGCTGTGGATGTGGTCTGTTGGGATTTCAGCAAGGCATTTCAAACTGTCTCCCACAGCATACTTCTAGAAAAACTGGCTGCTCATGATTTGGATGGGTGGATTGTTGTAGAGAGGTGTGGGATGGTCTCTTCTGCCATGCCTGCAGTGAGAGGACTCGAGAGAACAGTCGTAAGTTGAGACAGGGGAGATTTACATTAGATATTAGGAAGAAAATATTCATTGTTAGAGTGGTTAGGCACTCGAATAGGTTTCCCTGGAAGTGCTTAAGAGGCATCTGGATCTGGTGCTGGAAGATATGGTTGGAGGCTTTAGGGGTTACAGCAGAGTGACAGGTTAATGGTTGGACTTGTTGATCTTAGAGGTCTCCTTCGACCTTGATGGTTCTATGATTCTATGTTGTTTCAAGGAAAGTTGTGTAGGCTCCTTCAGTAATTGTGTATTCATAGCACCCCAGGAAAATTATGTTGCACATAACTTTGTAACATTGTAAGAATAATTTTAAATACTCTCGTGGGGGTGGAATATTTTTGATATATGTGGTTTCTGTCTCTGCTTGACCTTTTGTTTCCCTTCAGTGACAGCCCATACAGCGAACATGGTACATTAGAGGAAGTGGACCAGGATGCTAGTACAGAGCCCCACACGAGTGAAGATGGTACGTCTGTTATGTTACTGTGCCTTTGATGGGAGCAAGTTTTACAGGTGTTTCATGCAGGAGGCCTTCTTCCTCTCCAAATTGTGTCTTATATGAAAGAAGGGAATTTTAGTCCTGGTAGCATATCTTTAATCTCTGTTTGTGTGCTTTTGCACTCTTGATTCATCTGTGTTTGACCAGCTGTTTCCTTGTTCTCTCCTGATTTGCCCAGTCACAGGAAGGGCAAGAGAAACTACTTCAGTCAGCACATATTATTTTCTGACATAATGTTACATTTTTAGTGACTCTTTTATCTACAAAAAATAAACTTTTCAAAACTGTGCATTTAGCTATTTCAGCTAAGGGATAATTGCCATTCAGGCTCTATTTTTGTATGAATTTAAAAGCTGTTTCATCTAAAGGATTTGTAACTGTTGAAAAACATGTGTGTACACCCCCCCGCTGAAACTGCTGAACAATAGAAATTTTGTGTAAGTATGAATCACATATACTCTGACAGTTCTCGGTGCAATAGATAACCATGAAAAAAATTGGTGCATCTCCATTATATCAGTTCTTTTTAGCCAGGTTTCCTAAAGCTGTATTTGAATCTGAGGCCATCCTTCTGAGGTCCCTCACAATAACTTCTGCCCAGTTTCAAGCAAATGCAACAGATGGAAAGAAATCAAAAAAGTTGTTAGATTAACTACCAATTTTGTGAGAATTAGTCGCCAGTTTAGAGGTGAAGGATTCACAATAATGCTCCCTGTAGAGAAGAGCAGCAGTGTGAGCTCACTGCATGTCTGGCCAGCAGACATCCCAGACAGAGCAACCAGCACACATGAACTTTGCAGAAGCAAAAGTTGCCCCTTGTCCATCCCAGGATATGTGGAAGGAGGAAGAGGAAAAGACAGAGTGGAGGCAAGGAGAAGGAGTTTTTGTTTTTTTGAAAGGATGTCATAAGGAACACCACTTAGGAGCTGGGACAATTGTCATGTGGAAGGGGAACAGGAAAGTGTATCTATAGGAAATCTGGCTACACTGGTCCTATTGCACAGAACAATGTAAACAGTAGTTCCACTCTAGCTGCACCCATCTGCTTTGTCACGTAGACAAGCTGTCAGTGACAGATTGTCTGTCTCTTCCCCTTTGCCAAGGTGAGGCAGGGGCAGGCAGAGCCTGTCAGTGCAGCTGTTTTGAGAGGAGGGACAGTTGAATGGGCAGGCATCACAGAAAGGGGGAAAACTGAGGATAGGAGAGAAATCAGTGTTAATCTTCTGCCTAAGGTGTATACCCATGTCTGTGCCCACAGAGGGAATACCAACAGCTCTACAAGACAGCCTGTATGTGGGTTCCTCTTGATCAGCTCTGTGGAACTAAACCCACAACACATCTCTGCTAAGTAGCATGAACAAACTCATAATTGCACTTTATTTTTCAAAGACAGTATAGCTATACTTTAGAAGAGCTCCTTTTTCCATTGGAGGTATGAAGCAAGAGTGAAAACTGAGGAGTTCTGTCTCTCATTTAGAGCACAAGTGAAGTAGTGAAATGCAGGTGACACCAGTTTAATATTTTGGGACCAACTTTGGGGTTCCATGACCAGACTGAGAGATAAAGGCCTGATTGGGCATGGAGAAGTGTAGCTTTTCAGCAGCAATCAAAAGCAGTTACATGAAAGCCATGCCAGGATCCAGAGGAGCAGGGCTGTGACACTGTGTGGTGCATTACCTGTACCTCAGTCATCATGGGCTCTGCCCCACTACTGTGTTGTTATAATCCCAGTTTTACATTTCTGTCATAGTGCTACCTGTGTTACAGCTGTGTCACTGGTGAAGACACACCCTGAAGAGAACAGCTGTCAACAGGACAAAGTTCTGTTAAAAGATTTATCTGCTCAAGTTTGTGTTCACCAGATCAGCCAGCAGGTTAATTCTAGTTGCCTCATCGCACCTTTTTAACTAATTCAGAGCTGAAAAGAAGTGAATATTTGTGTTTATGGATAAATAATTGTTAGCACGAAAATATTTGTAAGCTAGGGAAATACTGCTGCAATGATAAAGAAGAGCACTCCTGGATCACATGCAAAACAGTGTTGGTTTTTGATTCCCAGCCTGCAAACTCTTTTTTTCCATGGATATGGCTTTCCATTGTAAGAGCACATCATTCTAAATGCATTCACTATCTCTTTGCACATACATTCACGTGTTTGTGCTTTGGAAATTTCCTTTAAAAAGAGTTCTTGACACCACATATGAGAATAGGTGAGAATTTTTCAGTTTGCACGTTGAACATCATGAGAGTTACTGACTGACATTGCAGATTTTAAAAAGGCCTTTGCTAAAGGGTCTGGAGTATTTGAGGGGTTTAATGTGATTGATTCATTGATTATAATCTGGTTGCATCACTACCAGCTGTATGTGGAGAGAGAGGAGAGAGAAAGGGATATTCAGCATTGCTGCTGTATTGATCAGACATGTGGTACTTATATGTTTCCCTCTGTTAGGACATGGAAGAAACAGATTCTGTAAATATGAAGGGTTTTTTTTTTAATGTTGAAAATCTGATTAGTTTTATGCTAAAATGGTATATACATGCACAAGACTGAGCAGCTAACCCCATAGGAATTACAGGGTTATTGAAACATAATCCAGAGACTATGATGACAAGCAAAAGGATTTATTATCTTGGAGGTCTTTTCTATGATTCTATGATGTTTCTACTTTAGTTATTATTGTTATTAAGTTAAACTACAAGTGACTCTCTGTGCCTATTAGAATAAACCCAACTGTAGGCACTGTCTCAGTAGTGCTAGAAACATTTAATTACAATTTAGAAAACAGCAAGACAAAATGGAAAATTAAATTTTATGTATGCAGAGGTAAAAAATTGGTAGACTGGTGAAAAGAAGGCTGAAACTTAAAACTGAGCATCTAAATACTTCATAACTGCTTAATTTTAAGTGTATAAATTGCCCTTTTCCCCCCTAAGGTTCATATATTTGAGTTGATCACTGGAAAGAGAAGAGGGAAAAACATGCATAGTGTTTTCAGTCTTTTTTAAATGTGCAGAAAGTATCCCCATAAGGAAAACACATACATTTCTTCTTTCTTCTAAATCTGGAAATGAAATTTAATTTGTGAAGTTCAGAACATTTGTACTCAAGCTGAGACACACAAAAAAAAATCTATGTGTAACTTTGCCGCAGACAAACCTTTACCTGAAAGTGCCTCTGCAGTTAAGATTGAAAGGATATGGTTCATGTTTTGCTGAACCAGTGTTTAGTATATTTCTTTTACCTCCAAATCGCTGGGGAATTTTAGTTCTTGTTGGAGTCATATGGAAAAGGGTCACTATGTTTGTTTCCAGAGGAAGTAAGTATTTCCCGAGGAAGTTAAACAGATGGGGTTCTCCTAGGAAAACATACATGCAATTAATATCATAGTCTTCATAGGTATCAAATAAGGCAAAAATTTAGATGGTAGTTCTACTGAAAACAGAAATTACAGGGGCAGTATAAGACTGTAAGTTGTTGTGTCCCCAACATGGAGTAATTTTCTTGCCGTGATCGACACTTTGCTGAATTCTGTTCTGTCAACACCTTGCAACATTTCCTTGCTTTTGCTGTTCCCAGAGAGCTGCTGTCCTGAGGATAGGACTTTCTAAATTGCAGAGCCTCTATTCTCTGACAGGATGCAGAAAAGGATAAAGACTTTGGGAGGTAGCATCTTCCTCGAGAGTTCAAGTACATTCTTTATTCCTGACAGACAGGGTACACCTGGGAACATGGAGGAAGCACAGAGAAAACCAACAGTAACCTCCCCCACAAAAAGTCCAGTCCTTTCCTTCGTTCCCTGTGCCCTGATGTGTAAAGGGCAGGGCAGTGCCTCTTCAGTGCCATCACCTCTGTAGGGTGGTTAGTACTACATCTGGCGGTCCAATCCCAAAATTAAGATTAGCCCTTATGTTTCTTCTGCCCTTTCTGCTCTTCCAAGCAGCAGAAGTTTATCGCACAGTTCTTCAGTTTGTCCTAATTTTTCACTTCCATAGCATTGCCTGATTCACTAGAGATGATAGCTGGTGACATCCTGTATGTCATCAAATACTTCTTGCTACTGTAGGGGAATGCCCCCAGGTATGGACAGAGCAGTGCAATTACACTTCCCTCCAATCTGTCAGTTTTACTGTTAGACATTCAGTACCACTCAGAATTTGAGCTACAGACCCCAAATTTAGCTTTCATCACCTTTGCTTTTTGGTCTGTCATTCAGCAACTTGATATTAAATGGCTTAACTTTTCAAAATGCATTTATTTCTTGAAGTAACTGTCATGGTACTTTGATTTTCAGAATTAAAGCTTGACCTGTAACAGGGTGAATTACTGTTTAAGTACAGTCTTAATTGTGTTTGCAATAGGAAAGTTATCTCTGTAAAAGCAAGGTTCAAGCAAAGAAAATGCCCCTTTCAAAATAGTAAAACCAGTCTGAACTGATTTTTTTGTCCTGTTTAGAAATGTAGGTGAAATCTACTGGGCACTCCTCCCTGAGGAGGTGGGATTTGTTACCCAGCAGTCTGATGTATGTGTTTCCAGAGTCACATCCATTATGGGTACATTAGCAATTCATACAGCTGGTTCCAGTGGGACAGCTTTCTTCAGACCTCTGAGAAAGTATGTGAGTCTTGCAGGCAGTGGAAGGGTACAATAAACAGATTCCCATTGTGTGTCACACAGATTAGCATAATTCCACTGAAGGAGGTAGAACTATTTCTAGTTTAGTCCATTAATTTGTAAATAAAAAGGCTTGTGTACTCAAATATGGGATACTGTATGGTCTGTTGAAGCTAGCAGAGAAATGGGAAATCCCATAGCTAATCAGTGTCAGGGTTTATCAGTCAATCCATGACCATTACCAGTTAACTTCAGAGAATGTAAAAGAAAAATATGTGCAGGAAATTTAGCATTTACTGTAAAGCTTTTTTTTTTTTTTGTTTGGTTTTTTTTTCATTTTAAAGTATACCCATTAGCGAGTGACTGGTTCTCTGAAACCTGGGAGCTTTTGTTTCTGAATTCTTGACCCACTCTTCCATAACCTATAACTTAGCTGCAATCTGAGAAAAGTGTTTTCACACAAATGTCTGCTCCTTTTTAATCCTACACTATTCCAGTAATACCTTCTTATAACAAATTCCACAAGCAATGTGCATGATATGTGTAAAAACTATGTTGTTCTGTTAGTGTCCCATTATTGTCATGTGATTTCATATTGCCTCTTAAACATGATGCAAGATAAACAGTAATGTTTGGTTTTATTTCTTTTCATTTGACAGTAGTGTCTTTCTGTGCCTGTAGTCACTTTGTTGCATCTGCACTTTCTGTTAGACTGTAGATTGAATATCTAGAAATGGCAACAAGGTAGTATAGTAGAATATCACACCACCATTAAAGATTTCCCAGTTTTCCAGAATGTGTTTTTCTATGTCAACTCTACATTTTCTTTGTGTAAAAACTGAAAACCAAGAAACCTTTCAGCCCCTACCCACCCACTAGGGAATGCCTGCCAGTGAGCCAGCCAGTAGGGTTGCATTTTCAGGAATTAGTATTGTTATCGCTAGGTTCTTATTTGAATTTATATTACTGAAGTAATTTCTGCCAGTGTACATTACTTTTGTGTTTGTAACAGTGAATTCCTCATATGTGTGTTTGCCATCTCTAGAAAGTTTCCAAGTTGGTAACTTCTAAACCCCCTGCAGTTTGTCACTGACAGGAGCTCTTAACGTGACTGCACGAGCAGCAAACCACAAGACAGCCTTCTGCAGGCTGGGCAAGTTATTTAAAAAATGAGCTGCAAGCTACAACCTCAGTAAAGATGCTGTCATTAAGTTTTGATGCTGCAGGATGAAGTTAATTTTAAAAAGACATTCCTGTGCAAAATGCTGTCATAAAAGGACAGTGGGTTCATTACCAGCCTGGTTCTTTGGGGAATTACAACCTCAGCGATTTTAAATTTGCACCAGACAGAAAGTTGCTATGCTAGTCATTAGCCCAGATGGTAATTTCCATCTAAATATTGCTCTAATTACGTAAAGAAATTAGTCATTTCAGGGACTCTTGAGTTATTGGAATCATCAAAGTGTGAATTTTAGACCTGTATTTTGCAGGTTTTTCTCTATATTTTGAGACTGTGATGACAAATTTTAATCTGTTTGAGCTCAGGTGGTTTTGGTTTTGTGAGCAAGAAACTAGAGGTTGTTAAAATCACAGCTGTTCGCTGATGTCTGGGCACAGCTGGCAATACCTGCAGGGCCCCTTTGCCCACATCAGTAGGTTTCCATCCCAGGGATAAGTTGCAGGATGGAGTCCATTTCCAGTGTAAGGCTGAATTTACCAGCATACCACAGAAGATCAGCCAAGACTGCTGTAGGCAGTGTTTGGCCTCAAAACACTGGCCTAGCCTGCGGAAACCAGGGCAGCTTGGGATGTTGGAGCAGGCGCAGAGCTGCTTTAAGCAACTTGAGGCCACACAGGGACTGCTCCTGCAGGGGGAGTCATCCTTAGGCAGTCTGGGGCTGGCTGTCCCGCTCAAAAAGGTGTTAAGGAAGCAGATTAAATCACTAGGCTTCAGCGTTGTATAAAACACAAGGTTTTCACTTGGTCTGCACACTCATGACATTAAAGATAGAAATCCCATAGCCCAGTTAGGCAGTGTATCCCTACTTATGCACAGGGTAATGTTTTCTTCCTTCCTTTACCACTGCAGATATTAGAGGCACTCCTATTTACCTTTTCTTTATCACACTGGTTCCTCAGGCCTTTGATTATTCATCTGAGTTTGTTCATTTTATTTTCAGAGGTCTTCATTGCCTGGCCTCCATCCCACTCCTCATCCATGCCGGAGCCCTTGCAGCAGGAGGCAGAGGCCTTTCTTACAGCAGTAGCTGTTGTAACATTCAAGTGTGCTGTTAACTTTCCTGCAGCTTGTGAAGGAACCCAGATGTTTCACACTTGGGGCACAGATTGATTATGTTTCTTTCTAAAGGACGTGTTACAACTACTGCCTGAAATCTGCCTTAGTTCAACTGATCTCACTCTGCTCAGAATGAGCACTGATAAAATGCAATAAATGGGGATTATGAAACCCAAATAAGCAGATAAGCCAGTGTGGAATCTGATATCTGTTCCTCTTCCCTCCCCACTCAGAGTGTGAACCCATAGAAGCTATAGCCAAGTTTGACTATGTTGGAAGATCGGCACGAGAACTCTCTTTCAAGAAAGGAGCTTCCCTTCTGCTCTATCACCGAGCGTCTGAAGACTGGTGGGAAGGAAGGCACAATGGAATTGATGGCCTTGTCCCTCACCAGTACATAGTGGTGCAGGATATGTAAGCAGTTTCTGGTGTAACTGGTTCTTGGTGGGGTGTAAATTCTGAAGCAATTAGCAGCATTTTCCAAATGGGTCAATGGTTTGAAGGCTCAGATAGCTTAAACATTTGCCTTCTGTGCAGGATACCTCTATTGCCCTGAACTGACAGCTCAATCAAAAACTACTATGCTAAGCTTTTGTTATGGATATGTTCCCATTTAGAGACCAATGCTGCTGCACCATTTTCATTTGACTGTCTCTTTGCAGCAGTTGCTGACTTTTAACTTCCTAATAGCAAGAGCTGGAGAAATACAGGCCCGAACTCTTGTTTTGCAGTATTAAGCATTGCTTTGCCAAGGATGACGAAGTTCTTTACAGAAGGGTTACACTTGAAGTGTGAAGAGTTCAGTAAACAGAAGGATTGTAAGCAATTTTGGGAGACAGGCAAGAGCTGCAGTGCATTATAACATGCCTGCTTTTCTTAAGGGGATTAAAATCTGGGGGTGCCAAGGTGCTCTGTCACACTTCACTCAGTGACTTCTCATCTCACTATGTGTGTTCTGCTCAGGGATGATACTTTCTCAGATACACTGAGCCAAAAAGCAGACAGTGAGGCCAGCAGTGGACCCATCACTGAGGACAAGTCATCATCAAAGGACATGAACTCTCCCACTGACCGTCACTCTGATGTGTATTTAGGAAGGTAAGCTTCAACATAACATGTTTTCAGTAGTACTGCTCAAAGCTCAGGTAACACAGTAATTATTCCTCCACATACTTACCGTGGGTCACTACAACTTGTCCTATAACCACTTCTTCATTGGTGCAGGCAAAGAAAGAGGTCAGAACCTCTACCTCCTCTGAGACGCCCCGGCAGGAGCAGTGATGGCCACTGCCCAGTACACCCACCTCACCCTCTCTCCAACTCAGCTGTGGATCTGGGTTCCCCCAACCTGACAACTCACTGCAGTCCCAGAGCTCTGCTTCAAAATCGCAACCTCAATGCTGACAGCCCTGAAAGGCGACGTAGACCTGGGCACGGCAGCCTCACAAACATCAGTAGGCATGATTCTCTGAAGAAGATTGACAGCCCTCCAATTAGAAGGTCTACATCATCTGGTCAGTACACAGGTTTCAATGACCATAAACCACTGGACCCAGAGTCAATAGCTCAGGTTTGTGTCTTTTTTATTTATGTCATTCTCTGATTTTCTGAGGAGCAAATCTTACTGAGTAGCACAGCATAGAGCACATGCGCTGGAAGGAAGGTGTGTGCAGGGGAATATTCTACTTAGCTTTCCAAACAGAGCAGGGGAATATCCAACTTGGCTTTCCAAACAGGGCATTTGTGAAAGAAAATGTGTTAAGCGATCCTGAATAGAAGAAACACAAGGGGAGATAGATATTATTGAAGCAATAAAAAGAAATTATTTCCCACTATACTATAATGAAATTGCCTCTGCCACATGGAACACTAGGACAGCATATGATTACAACAGCTACGTAGATTGCTGTGCTCTGTTGAAGGTTAGCCTATTCTGACTTGGCTGTAATTAGTGTTCAGTTATTTCTGAGTATTGTGGTCATCAGAAAAGTGCTCTGACTGGCTAGTAGTGACCATTGCCATTCAGTGCACAGATTCGCAGTCCAGGGTCTTGTGGATTTTACAGTTTTCATATAGTTCATACCTAGTTCATACTGTACATTGATTTGACACTTGTAGTAGAACATAACGTGCAAGACATTGCACCTGCATAAATCGTGGGCCATCTTATCCCTGTGTGCTCACTCACCAGTCTCATTCCTGGCAGGAATAGGATGGAATAGGGAGCACCCTTATCATCAGACTGGTCTGTTGTACTGAGCTGGTAACAGCTCTTGAGCAGCTCTTGAGCTCTGTCTTCAGAACTCACGTGTTGTTTAGTTAGGATAACATGATTACTAGGGGCACCCTGAAGGTGCAGTACAATTGCAAACATATTTTACAATAACAGTAGCACTCATGTTTTAAAATTTAATGTGCTGGTAATGCTTCTTTGCAAACTCTGCTTCCAGCAAGGTATAGAAGAGACTGTCATGCTCAGGTCAGAAAGCTGAACCATTTATTAGGGTTAGAAAGTGTAAATGTTGTTACTGTTTTATTTTATCCCAAGTTAATTTATTTACTTCCCTGGAACTACATGCAGTGCTGTTTGGCTTAAGCTATCTTTGTTTTATGACTAGACTAGCAATCATTTGACAGTGAGAGAACCCAAACTTTGATTAAACTATGTGAAAGTCACTGTGTGAGCAGGCAGGAAACAACAGATATTTCAACCTTTGTTATATGTCAGTACCCCTGAAAAGTAGTAAACTAGTGCGTTCTCTTAGCATTCATGCCAGAAGTCCTGATGAAAAAAATAGTTCCTTAGGTATGTGTACTGAACAATATCTTGCAGGTTTCTTCTGTTTAAGATTAGCTCTCTGAAACTAGAGAAGAAATGATAGACACACAAGTTTTATTTCCTTAGAAAACCAGGTTTTGTAATCCATGTGAGGGAATACAGATCCTGAACACCTGAGGCATTAGATGAGAGGAGCAGTTAGCCAAGAGTTAGCAAATAGACTAATATCTTTACAGTTGTCAGTACCCAAGAGATGACAGAAATCTTCACTGTTAAAAACACTGCTAAGCAAATATCCATTGCACTGATAGTCACTTAATAAAATGGCTTTCAGATTTTAGTTTAATTGATTTTTTTTTTATTCTGTCACGTAAACAGGTTAAATATTTGTAATGTCCAGCCAGAGTTGCCATCTTGTCAGTCACAGTGTCTTTCAAATAAATCTGGTGGAAATTGGTTTTAGCACTGTAATAATTGTTAAAGGATGGTTGGCAAATCAATTCATGCATTTTCCAACCCCTCCCCTTGCTCCTCTGGTACTCTGCATTCAGTAGCAATGTGAATGACATGCCACTCTGTGTGCTTTGACCCAGGACATTGAGGAGACAATGAACACAGCACTGAATGAGCTGCGTGAGCTGGAGCGGCAGAGCTCGGCGAAACACGCCCCTGATGTCGTGTTGGACACCTTGGAACAAATGAAAAACACACCCACCCCTGCTGCCTCCACAGAGTCACTCAGCCCTCTCCACAGTGTGGTTTTGAGGAGCTCTGAGCCCCAGATCCGCCGTAGCACTAGTTCTTCCAGCGACACCATGAGTACTTTCAAGCCCATGGTGGCCCCTAGAATGGGAGTGCAGCTGAAACCTCCTGCTCTTAGGCCAAAACCTATTGTTCTTCCAAAAACAAATCCTAGCATAGGGCCTTCCCCTGCTTCCCAGGGTCCAGCTGACAAATCTTGCACAATGTAGACAGCTCAGCCACCCACAGTGCCCAGCCAGGATATGCTAGGGAAAGGGATGGATTAACAATAGAAGTCAGGGCTCCATAACATCATTTGTTCATGTTTGTAACTGGAGAGGCTTTGTTTTTCAGTGTTTTTGAATGTATTGTCTGAAAGTAGCTACATTAACATGGGCATTTGTATTTTGTATGGTTTCAGTTAAAAGAAAAACTGGACAATTGTGCATTGTTTTAGAAAAGCAAACATAGACTTACTTGAAAACTTGATGCTGCACCATTTATAATAAAACCAACACAGATCACAAACAGCTTGCCACGTTATACCATACTTCACAGTCTTACTGTAGCTTATAAGAACAGATCCTGCACAAAATTAAGGGGCTGGGGAGGGGTGGGGGGAGGTCAAGGGAGGTGGGGCCTCTCATTTGTGGGTCACCAAACCAAATATCAAGCAGGTTAGTAAGAACTGAAATCTAGCACGTGAGGATTAAGTGTCTGTGTGGAATGTCTAAGTCATCTCAGGCCACATTTCTTGAAGACACACTAAAAAAAATTAATCACCAAACCCTCACAACTCATAATTGGCACTGAGTTTTAGCTTTCTTGTTGGCAGTCTCACCAGAGGCAAGTGCTTGATGGAGCTGGAGATCACATTGCTCTCACCAATAAAATACAACATTCCAGGACACAGCTAAAGCACATCCCCAGAATAATATCTAGAAACTCCTTTTGTTGCCCTCTGTAATAGTGTACCTTTTCCCATGAAGCTAGACCTTCATCCCTCGATTTTCACAAAAGATGACTTCTTTTGAAGTTCATAGTTAAGCAAGCCAGGCAAGTACCTGAACCTGTTGGTCCATTAGGCAAGCTGATTGATCGGGGATTAAAAGGATCAACTACACAGGAATTCAGAAAAGTATCCCATTGACTTTATTGCTGTGTCCAATTAAAGACATGATTGGAGTTGAAATAGCCAGAGTTTCGACCTGACCCAGCTCTGCAGGCTTGCCTTGCACAGCACATATGCTCAGTTGTGCTGATGGCAGCAGGACAGGGACTCTGAAAAGGGACTACTACCTCCTGCCAGTGGTGCAGGGGTCACTCACAGGACAGGCAGCTGAGTTTCTACTGCCTAGATTCAAGCTGAATAAAGTTTTCCATAACTCATTTCCTCTCCCCTTCCCCTTTTGTTAAATTACGAAAATCAGTACCTTTCTTATGTCTGTGGGAGTGATGATTGTCAACTTTGCTTAGCACTCTGTTGTTAAACTGTTAGGCATGAACTAAGCATACAGCTGTTTTGCACGTTGCAACAGTAAGCCATAATATTATTTCTGTGAATATATTTTCCAACATCCAATCCATAAAACAGGGTTCAGTGAATAAGATGGGGAAAAAAATTACTTGTTGTCCACCTGAAGGAGTACAACTGGCTTTAATTAATATCTGTCTTTCCATATATTCTGTAAGATCTCACCATTGGAAAGCGTCAAGTTGTACCACTTGCTATGCATAAACAGCTGAGTTTGGGAGGAGAAGCAGTGACAAAATCTGATAGGCATAATAGCTGAGGAGCCAAGAGCAATTTCCTGTTGGTACTTAGGAGCAGCTTATTCCTGCTCTGATTTACACCCTCTAGACAGGTGGTACAATGCAAAGCCCCAGGTGTGAAAAGCCTCCTCTAAGCCCCAAACTGCTCCTGGTATTTGCAAACCCTTCTCAATCCAGCCACAGACTTCACACACATCTAGGTTAGAGGCAAAGTCTTAATCCACCACAGCAGGCTGTGCAGCATCAGTCAGCAAACCTCCATCCGTCTCGACTGTACTGCCTAGTTCTCACACCGGGGCCAGAGCCCAAGCCACAGAGCAGTGCTGGTCTATAGGGTCTGCTCACTTGGTTGGGACCAGAGGTATTTTCAAGTAGTTCCCCAGTTTACTAGAATCAGTGGAACAAAACTGGAATTTCAGCGCTCATTTACATGCAGTTTTAGTCTAGTGTTTTTAAATTAACCCACCTGGCACAATTGAGATGGTTACCTGTATCTTTAAATTGCATAGGGAATTTTGTATGTTTAAATAACTATACTGGACTCCATAATGTTTATATTAGAAATTGTTTAGCGAAAGAAAATATTAGAAACAGTACATTTAGTGGATGCATCCACTTAGTGCATTCACACAGTTAAATGTGTAGTTTGATGGTTATTATAGATACTTTAAAATATAATAGGTGGATATGTAACAGGAAAGACTGCTACAACTACAGGCATACTAAAGGGTAACTCCTGCACACCTAATCCAATCAGTATTGTCCTTTACTGTCAAGTATGATGAATTGCAGTACTGGTAGCTTCCTGCTTGCTGACTGTTACCTAATTGTGTCAATGTACATCTGTAGTATGTACATGTGAAAGTGCCTTTAAATTTTAGAGGAGCTTTAGCTTTGCTCTTGTACTGTTGCATTTCCATTGCATCTTTCCCTGTTCCTGTATGGATGCATTCCCATTACATTCCTTCCACTCTTGAAGAACAAATAAAAATGTGGAAAATTCATGGTTCTGGAAGAGAAATGTACTGTTAATCTGTTGTGACAATGCACTTTTATGTATAGTACTGTACATTTTTGGTGTGTACCATTACAAGCTTCAGTATACATTCAGGTTTGTTCCTCATAGTGTATATTTATAATAAAGAAGATAGTTCTGTCTGTGCCTATAGTTTTTCTGGGTAAACTGCCATATCTTCTGACACGGATTGCCAGTCTACATTTACCTCCCACACAAGGGGAAAACAGCATCCCCCATCCACCCACACCCCACACTGCTTCAAGTCCCATCACCCTCTTGGCCTGAAGAAGCACTTGTTCCCAGACAGGCTCCTACCTAACTTAAGGAGCACTGTCACTTTAAGATCACTCAAGTCCCTCTGTACCTGAAGACCCCACAAGGTTCTGCCTAAGCAGTCATCAAGAGCAATCAATCCTGCTCCCACTAGTGTGGAAACATCCTGCCACCTAGTTGGCCAGCACTCTGCCACTCCTGCTCCCCACAGGAAAAATAGGTGGAAAAAACACTCCAGCTTACACATTTAAGAACATGTTTAAAAATTGAGGAAAAGAATTTAAAAAAGTCTACCTGGGGACATTTCTTACAGCAGAAGAGATGCCATCCCATCACACTGGGGTGATGGGAAGAGTGCCACAGGTCAAGGTTATTTTCAGTGACCTTCTATCCAAGAAACAGTGACAGTGCACCCCCTCCCTCCCAGCTGGCTCCAGGAACCAGGGGGTCTGTGAGTGCCAGGCTGATGGCTGCTTGAGAGATCTTCAACTATGCATGGGTCAGATGCTGTCAAGAACAATTCCTGGCCTTGGACTACAGCTGCCCAGAGAGGCCTGCTATGCTGCCCAACATAGATTTGTTTAAGGGGAGAAGAGATATTTGGAAATGCATTTCCAGTCCTTGCTTTTAAAAAAAAAAAAGTCATCCCTGGTTATTGAGGACCACCATCTGCCTGAAGAAGGAGGCAGATGCCCCATCCCTGGAAGTGTTCATGGCCAGGTTGGGCAGTGCTTTGAGCAGCCTGGTCTAGTGGAAGGTGTCCCTGCCCATGGCAGGAGGATTGGAACTACGTGATCTTTAAGATCTCTTCCACCCCAAGCTGTTCTACAATTCTGTCAGGCAGTACAGGGTGGTATGGGGGAAGGGGCACATCAGCCTCCCTGGCTCATAGCAGTGTTTTATTCACGCTGAGAAAGCTGCTCATCCATCAGCCTGTGGTGGCAGTCTTTGTGACACAGTATCCAGTGACCTACTTTGGGTATTTCTTCTTGTCCCCTTCTGCACAAAAGCTCCTAAGACATGCAGGAAGGGACAGCAAAGGTCATTCCTCATTCGAGGTCCTGCACAGCCCAGAGGATGCATAACCCAGTTTGCACAGTCAGCTCATATGCTGGTGAGGAGAGGGGCTTATGTAGTGGCTTTTAACCTGTTTTAAAATAAATAAGGAAACACAGAACAGGGGTCTCCTCCTGTTTTTTAACATGAAGTTTCAGTTTTGCACTGTGCTGATTTCTTAGCTTCCTTCCAGGTTTTGTAGTGGAAAGAAGCCCATCTCTCACAGACACAGCCAAAGGTTTTGGCAGGTGATGGGGAACTGCTGACTTTACTAGCACTCAAAAAACCCAAAGGGACGATGAACTGTTTAGCTGAGAAAAGTGTATTAGCTGAATAGAAAATGAGCAACCAGTCGCAGCAGGGTGCTTAGCTCAGGCCACCACTGAAAATCATTTTTTCAAGCCACATGCAGCTCCAGGATGCAGCACTGCCCTAGCCTGCACAAATGCTTCCTCAGCCAGCATAAGAAAACCATGGAGGATCCATCCAGGTTGTAAGTTCTCCTTGGCAGAGACACATGATTTGTTACTTACTCTGTGGCTCACATGGACTTACCCTGACCAGAAGGATCTGTGGTCACTCTGTTCAGTCACTGCTACCCCATGGGACAAGCCTTGGCGTTAATCTGGATGGAACTGATACTTGGGGAGCAACTGAATCCAGAAAAGTATTAACTAGTGATAAGGGATGAAAGTGCCATTCTTGTGGGTAGAAATATTGCTTTCTCCATGAACCTGGCTCTTGAGGGAAAAAAACCTGCCACTATAACATATGAAAACCCAAACACATCAACAATTGAACACCTTTAAATCAAGTTATCTAAACAAGCTCAATTACTGTTTAAAAATCAAATAAACCAACCAGTAGTTCAGACATTCCACTGTAACTGCAGCTCCTCCCTGTCTGTGTTTTACACAAGGGCACTTGCAGCTCACACAGCTGGCAGCACCAGTCGCTGCTGGCACTAGGGCTCCACCAGACCCAGCAAGTGAGCAAGTTTTCCTGCTGGGGACCCACGACCTTATGACTCAGAGGTGCCACTCAGTCTCTCCACCACAGTGCTGCAGCCCACCTAGGCCACAGCAGCCTCAGCCTTAACCCTGGCTCCCAATGCCCCTCAGACCTCTCCTGAGTGGAAGTGCTGGCATTCAGCCCATGGCCCTCAAGCAAGACCCCAGTCACCAGTAAGTTAACCTATACAGAAACATAGGACTTACTTCATTGGCTTGTGCTACAAAATATACTGCTTGAATATTTTTAAAGGAAAAACCCTCCAAAGAGCCTAAACCAACCTGTCCAACAGCCCCTGAGTAGCTTCTGTTTGGATATGACAATTTTACAAGTGACGGAGAGAGTGATCAGCATTGGAATGTGCTGCCCAGGGAGGTGGTGGATTCACCATCCCTGGAGGTTTTTATGATGAGACTGGATGTGGCACTTAGTGCCATGGTGTCGTAACAACAGTAGGGTTGGACTTGATCTTGGAGGTCTTTTCCAACCTGGTTGATTCTATGATTCTATGATCAAAAAGTCAACTACAAACTGAGAAAATGTTATTTCTTGCACTGCCAAACACCTCATTAATACAAGACATAAAGCTGCACAGAGAGAGAAAACAAAGCTGGCTTGTAATAGGATTTTCCTTTTCACAGCAAATTCTGCAAGCTCAAATATATTTTCCATAATAAAAAGACAAAAGAACCTGTGTAACTCATTCCTAAGTGAACATTTTACTGAAATGCTTTGCTGCATTTTTCATCCTTATAGGATAAATGCATTTCATTGTAACATCTTATATAAACCAGTTCTGCTTTAACCTAAGCAAAATACCTTTTTTTTGTTTTGCCCTGTCTAGAATGAAATATTGCTGAGAAGTATGTCTCGAGGAAATATCATGGGCTTCACAAAGCAGCATTTCCTGGTGGAACAACGACTTACAAGAAAATTACAGGTCAGTT